TGTGTGGTGTGTTGTGTGTTGTGTTGTGTGTTGTGTGTTGTGCACCGATGCAGGGGAGATATTCTCCACGCCCATGGTGGTATTTCTGGGCAACCACTCCAGCGGCAAGAGCACCTTCATCAACCACCTCCTCAACGAGCCCGACCTCCAGACGGCCGGCCAGGTAACCCCCCCGCGTTTTCCCTCTTCCATTTGATCTCTCTGCCGCACTCTCTCCGCGCGCATACCTCATCATCATCGCCATCATCCATCCATCCATCCATCCATCATCATCATCGTAATTATTGTAATTATTGTGTGTTTTGTTTTTGGTTTGGTTTGGTTAGGCGCCGATGGACGACGGGTTCACGCTGATCTGCCACGGCAACTCGCGGGACGAGCAGCTGGGTCCGGCGATCGTGAACAACACGAAGCTGCCCTACACGAGCCTGTCCAACATCGGGGACCAGTTCGTGGAGCACCTGAAGATGAAGTTCCTCCCGCACCCGCTGCTCAAGCAGGTCACGCTGGTGGACTCGCCCGGCATGATCGACTCGGTGGGCGAGGGCCGCGGCTACGACTTTGCCGAGGCCGTGCGCTGGTTCGCCGACCGGGCCGACTACGTGCTGTTCTTCTTCGACGGCGAGAAGCCCGGCACCACGGGCGAGACGCTCAAGATCTTCACCCAATCGCTGAGCGGCATGGACCACAAGCTCCTCATCCTCATGAACAAGGTCGACACCTTCAAGAACATCGGCGACTTTGTGCGCACCTACGGCACCCTCTGCTGGAACCTGGCCAAGGTCATCCCCTACAAGGACATGCCCCAGATACACACCACCTTCGTCCCCGTCGACGACGTCTCCGGCAAGTCCCTCGCCAAGCACCGACCCGCCCCCGCCGCCCCCGCCTCCTCCTCGGGCGCCGCCGACTCGGGCTCCTCCTCCTCCTCCTCGTCATCGTCGTCGTCGCCGGCGATCTCCTATCGCTCGTGGTCGCTGGCCGAGTTCGAGCGCGCCGCGGAGAAGGTCATCAAGAAGGTGTGGAGCGCGCCCTCGCGCCACGCCGACAACATGATCACCGAACTCAAGCGCTACATCGAGCACCTCCTCATGCACGCCCAGGCACCACCTCACACCCCCTCCCCCCTCCCCTCCATCTCCATCGTCAGCGTACGCGTGCCGTGAGCTGACCCCTCCCTCCCAATGGTGCGGTGGTGGCGGTGGCGGTGGTCCGCAGGTCATCAGCGCGGCCCGCAACAGGCTGTGGTGGGCGCGCATCAAGTGGTGGGTGGGCCTCGTGTTCTTCGCCTTCTTCACCACCTTCCTCGTCTTCCACTTCAACTTTGGTAACCACCCCCCCCCCAATCCCCAATCGCCCGCCCGCCCAGCGCGATCGCCGCCGCCAGTGGTACTCAACGTTACTCCCACCCCGCCCCGCCCCACCTGCAGACCCGAGCCTCCGTCGCGCGTCGCTGTTGGACGTCCTCGTGGACCCCTACGCCGGAGTGCTGCCCCTCATGGTCGGCCTCCTCGTGCTGCTCGTGGGCGGCACCCTCCTCATCCCCCGTACGCATCCCCCGCTCCTCTCCTCTCTGCTCCCTCCAAGGACTCTCTCTCTCCCTCTCTCTCACACACACGACACTCACACACACGACACACGACACACGACACACGACACACGACACACACAACTCCCACCAGATCTGCTGGCGAACGCGGAGAAGGAGATGCTCAACAACCTGCACCCCCTCTTTGAGACCGCCTACGCCAAGGAGGTGAGTACCCCCTCCCCCCCAATGCACTCCTCCTTCGCCTCTTTCTATGTATGTCGCGTGCTGCGTGTGGTGGCCGCTGACTGACGCATTGGTGGTGCTGCGTGTTGCGTGTTGCGTGTCACATCAACAGTTGATGGGCGCGTCCGGGGACTACTACCGCGGGCTGTGGGAGGTGGTGCGTCCGACGAGCAGGTTCGCCATCGAGAAGTTTGGCCTCCTGTCCTTCCCCTCGCTCTCCCGCAAGCAGCAGGCGCAGCTCCACCACATCATGACCCACGAGGTCGAGGAGATGCTCGACCGCGTCCACACCACCCTCCAGCTCTGATCAGAGACGACGGACTACCCACTGACCACAAGTTTCTTGTGCGTGACAACAACAAAGCAAATAATCATGAATGAGGCTTATTATTTGTCCTATTATTACTATTATTTTGCTCAAGCAGCGTGTGTGTTATTTGTTTATTTGTTTATATGTTCTTGTTGGGCACGCCAGCCAGCCAGAGCTACCAGAGGGGCGCGGGGATGTTGGAGGCGTTGGTGGGCTGCATCTCCATGTCGTCATCGACCTCGCGCAGGTGGGCCATGGCGTCGGCCGTCTTGTTCACCT